CATTTATGGAATGAACTTAACGAAGGCGCAATAAACGTTCTGTAATCCAAAAAATTTTCGTGAAGCATTACAAGTATGGAGGAAAATTCCGCCTGAAACTTATACTAAACCTATAGAAAGCGTGCCACATAGAATTGAAACATGCATTTAAAATCAAGGATGGCCTACCAAGTATTCAATATTGTATTAAAAAATTTTAAATTTTCTTTAGCTGGCCGGACACTTTTTGTATGTGTTTAATAATCAAACCTATTGAGCCAAAATCAGCAAATTTGCTGGAGATTTATTACTAAGTTTTACATTTTAAAGTTACTAGACACATCGCATCAACATTGTTTACGATAATATTTTTTTATTGTCTTGCTACAATAATTGCAAAAATAAAAATGCTTCAGCTATTTGATGTTTACATTAAAAACTGCAGTCACGAGCATTTATACAACTTGTTATTATACAATACAAAATATGATGTCAATTTTAGGATCAACTGGCGGTTTATCTGCTGTATTTGGTACATCAGTGGCAGTATTGTCTACCGTACCGAGTATGTGCTCATTACCCTTTTTCCGGAACATTCGAAATATCGTTGGCATCATTGTAGTAGACGTGTCCTTTCCAAACATAGAAGAACCAATGAGAGTAGAAAGACTCTCTCTGTATCGATTCGCGTGTTTTTTGATAGTCACCTTCATCGATTACATGCACATAACTAGTTGGCGAAGGCACCTAGTATTCAGACTATCCCTCAACGTGGGAGAAGACTGATTGCTGTACCAGACCCGGGTGACGCTATGCTTGATGATTGACTTTTAGAGATCGAACGTGCTCCAGTGTTGACAACTAATTCTTGCCTTGATATTTGTTGGACGTCCTTCGATGAGTCTCACTATTTAGACTGTGCGAGTATAATTAGACATATACCCCAAAATCTAACACCGTCATCTGATTGGGGCATTATAATAAACGAGTCACTGAGTGCGATCGCATCAGCCAATCGCAGAAAGTTCCATATCAGAATTGTCGTAAACAGAGAACGTTCTGAGAACGGCGCGTATTACTTTTTGCGTTATGCCTAGCTCGAGAGAGGATATAAAGAGCCGTCCAGAAACGTAAAAGTCTATCAGCAAATCACAGGATATGTGTACTATATCTCCAATACCAAATATTCCCATTTCACAATACGTTAATCCTACAACAATTGGATAGGGCTTAGCTTGTGGAGTAGTAACTGAAGCCTCTGTAAGCTTGTTATGTACAAACAAGGAGCATATATTATTAATGGCACAAAGGGCTCTCCAAATAAACATTACTTGAGTTAACGTTCTTACAATAAGAAGAACCCACCAATCCAGAAGTCATAACTTTTTCTTTCGATTGACCTCAGTCTCCAAAGGAGAAACAGTACAAGAGAAGTTGCATAAAAAATTTCCAATGACCGAAGGAAATATTATTCCTTTACATGTAGGCATGTCCACGTCAAATGGAGCTGCAGCGATTGCGAGACCGGCCAGATTAAAAACTAATTTCGTGCGTGAGAATAGTAAGATTTTTTTTTCTGGTAAAAGTCATAGACAGACCTAACTGAATTATTAGCAAACATCTGTTCGGATGAAGAGGAAAGGTCTAAGTGTTCGTATACTTGATCTTTTTATCGACATTCTACAAGCGCCGCACAGTTTAATTCACAATCCTACAATCCAAGCACGGGAAACTTAGTATAGGAGTGAGGCATAGGTTTTATAATCCAGGGTCACTTTTGAGTCTGCCATCGTAAATGGATTTGTAATTTGAGCCTTTTAAAGTTCGTGAATGTTGGTAGAATTTAGATTCGTTGAATTGAATCTAGAGCCCTATGTGTAAGAATAGATGCCGACTATTTAAAGAAATTTAGATTTTTTATTTCAAACGATAAGGAATCAGTTGTGTTGTAAAGCAAAATACACAACCCACACTTCGTTATCTTGTCATCACGTAGCAAACTTTGCGTGATTTTAATTATGCATAATGTGTGATATTATTAGAACATTAATAATAAAAAAGTTTAATACAATAATGTCTACTCAGACGTTGGTTTACTCAAAGCATGAACGTCTATTACTATGCTTAATAGCACAATTAGAACTGACATTAACTCAAACTAGTTTTCAGTAATTGTTAATTATCGAGCCCAATACCAACTACTGCATCCGTCACACAATAGATGTGAGGCACAATAGATAAGCCATCAAACGTCGGAAAACTTTCGAGGGATATAAGCGCCTTATATTTTAACTTATAATGTCCTTGGAATTGCCATAAAACTCAGGCCGCATGTTGTTTGCAGCTGGACGGTTTTGCTTACATGACAGCCAAAATTGCTGATATAGTGTTGTTATTTAGTCATTTAGTTTGTATGACTATTGTAATTGAGACGGATTTATCGAAAATTTAATGCACACACAGCTCCTCAAAATTGAGCTGGGTAATCTGCTGCTGCTAGCATTAGAGAAATGTTAGCTTTAACTCGAATGTGATAAAAATAGTTCGTATTTGTCCTTGTAGATGATAATACATACCTTTCTAATATTAAATAACAAGGGTTTTTTGTGGGGAGGTTTCATATCAATATGCACTGTTGTGAGTAGTTATATTAAATTAGCTTTTTCACAGTGTAAAGTCGGTTGTTGTTTTCTTTTTGGATACGCATGTACTATAATTATTCTGGGACTGTTGACTGACCTAAGTATTAAAGCTTAGACGTCGCTTTAAATCATGCTAATCACTTAGCATTTTTTTTTGCTTCCTTGTTCCGCTGTGCGGACAATCATAAATATCGAATATGCTACGTGCAAGTCATAGTTCTGTTCAAAGAAGACGAAAGACAACCGTATTTAAAACTTGTATTAGTTTACAATTGTTACACCAATATGATTTTGTGATTGACTTGGGCGTTCACCAAAAAAAGTATTATTTGCATGACAAGGTTGGCTTATTAAGATATAGTCTGGTTGGACAACGATAAGGTATAACTTGGGTCCCAGACTATGAACAAGTCTTTTGATATAAATCTGATAGTTATTGGCACATTGCAAGCAAAGCATTATTCATACAGCAAAATACAGAAATAATATGCTGTACAGGCTAACAATTATTACAGCCGCTCGCTCTAAGCTTCCGTGACCGTTATTTGCGATGACGGGAAAATAAAACACTTATACATACAAACCCACCATTTTGGCGCATTGGCACCAATAATATCTTGCTTTGAGATTACTCACAAAATAGGATAAATGAAATGAGACCGTGTTTGATATTTTAGGATCAACAATAAGCCACATTTGCTCACACAACCCAGTTCTGTCTTGAATGGTGGGTCACACTTATTCATTCATCGTTAGTAAAAACTTGATTTCATTCATGTTTGTCGCAACGAGCAATCATACAAAGAGAAGCCGTATCACAGCGCCGATTGTTGGCGCTAATAAACCTATTGATATCAGCTATTACTATGTTGATCCCGATCCGATACGATGATGACCAATGTACTTCACTAACTTAGGAACTGTAGAAAATTCTGTCAGGAACATAGAGGGACTCATGATTGTCCTATGGTTCATTGGAAAACATGATAAAAGCCCTTTCTGGAGATATTCGGGTGCACAGCGTATCTTATTACTAATGATTGGGCGATTTCATACATCCATATCATGTATGACTCGACAAATGTTAACGACTCTAAAATACAGTCAATGGAAGGGAATGTCACGATATCCAGTTTACGTCATCAGACTATCGTAGCCTTGGGAGATTCAGTTACTGGTGAACGAAAGAAAATATCTGAACGGGCAATAAAATTAGTGAGAGAAGCTTGCTAACTTATTGTTATTATTTATATATAAACTTCGCAAAAGCCACCAGTCTGCAATAATAAAGGCAAAGCCTTAGGATCCGTCCTGACGTTCAATCAACCCTCTTCCAAGTACCCCTTGGTACTCTGACTGATATGGGCTAAGCCCACGCTTCTCAATTCACTCAATCCGGTTCAACAACCAGAGAAAGCGACACTCGAGCAACCATTCACTTTGACACATCTTTCAGTACATGATGCGTATTATGGGAAACATGAAGTTTGAACAATTTGGTGCCGCAGAGCATTCTCATATTATAACACAATTCCTTTCAAATAAACTAGTAGTCTTATATGCCGAACACACCGTTAATAATTGATAATCCGCTCCCTGATAATCGTTTTCAGTAGAGCGCGAATCACTAATCCTTCTATCGACAGGAATAATTCAATACCTGTCCATCGAATTATTCTGGTGACAGTGCATAAACGCGTTTTAGATAGCTATAAATAAACCCCTACTTATAGGCTTTCTCATTTGCATTTGTTAAAAGTTCAAATCGCTAAATCTCAAGGCGTTCAAGTTCGTTATAAAATTTGAACTCTAAATAAAAGACTGAGAGAGAATGTGAAACAAAAACTAGACCCTTGAAAATTCAAGAGTTGGAGCAAGAGCTGAGAACCGTCAGAAATGTGAGAACTTAGTGAAACGAGTGTCTGACACCATGGTAGTAAACATATGCAGGCGTACAGAAGACCAGATAAAGAGGTCGAAAGGACTTGTGATAGTGAATTTGGACGCAAAAAACGGGTAATAGAAAATACATATAATCTTAGAATACAGATGATATCCGCTACGGCTACAAACATAAGTCGTTTCCGAATATTGCATGCTGCTTATCCTATAACTATGTAACGTCCATTTTCATATACATAATACAAATTTTTGATAGCTATTAGGTTCGCACGCCGACTACGCCAATCCTCAGACTTGAGGTTCGTGGTCTTTAGCATACATGCGGATGGCCACTGATTTGCCATGCTTTTACTACCTAATATGGGACTTGAATATTGGCTTAGTACAAGCGCATCAATTGTTTGATGTTTAGCTCTCGCCGACTCTTGTCCAAAATTTATCATTCTATAAATCGAATATATAATCATTTTCAATATTTTAGTATACACAGGGATCTGTAATTATTGTATTAATAAAATGGGCAATTAGTACATTGGATAACTTGATTAAATCGGAAGAAAAATAAACTATACATACACTCTCGCGTTAAAGTAGACATAGTTACTGCCCGATTACCCAGCTCAGCTTCATTGCTTTCAGACTTTTGCCAGCCATGAAAGTGAATGCTTAAGACATTCTTTATCATCTCGCTCCTATTGCAATAAAAAAAACTTTTTGTCAGAACGTTATCCATTTGACTATAATATAGAGAGAATTGATCTTATACCTTATAGTCCTCTCTTTTGCGTGAGCGCCACGTGATTCCTTGCGGGCGACTGCGCTGTGCATGATGTCAAAAATTTTTTCAGTTCCCATGTTTCTACTAAGATCCGACTTCCAGGTCATTGATCGGTCAGTGACTTGATATCAGCAAATAATTTATAGCCGTCATCAATCTTTTCTACACCTGATAATGAGGGGGGGGGGGTATTGGACAACAAGTATTAACAACTTCAACATAAAAACTTTTCATTGTCCTCATTTCAAATCAACCTACCTTCATCAAGACTTTCCTGAGTTCTGAAGACAGCAGGATAACCTTTGCATATTGAGGCGTATTTGAGCGGTGGGCATTGGCGTTCCGAAGCTTATCGAGTTCTGCGATAGCATCGGTTCTAGTATCCGCTTCAAGTGGCTTATGGGGAGTTCCAGATTTATGGTGTCGCATATATGGTGTGCATGAGCACGGCTAATACAACAACGTCGAGCAATGAATTGGCACCGCACCAAGGCATGAACTGACATAAGTCGCTTATAGACTACTTTGTCATTATCATTCTGATAACAAAAGTAAATGTGGTTAGAATATCTGGGAAACGTTCATATTGAACAAGTACAAATTACACAATTACGACTGAATGATAAATCGTCTCTTTATATTGATACCTTATCGCTTCTCCAGTATATTTTGTCGGTATGCCACCCATATCATACTGCACAGTTGGAATGGGCCTGCAGTCTCTGAAACCGCTCATGCAACGACAAGTGTTATAATTGTAAAATGTGAGTCTCATCAGGACTAACACCACGTCCTTCGCAAATCTCCATAATCATCGATCTCGACACCAAATCCTTTGCTGCTGCATATCCAAGTAAAGAAAGTATTCCAAAAATAAAAAGCCAAGTTAAAAGCCATTAAAATTACACGGACTTAGAATTCAACAAAAACTCCTCTAGCACCCTCAGTAATAGCATATAGATACCAATGAAGATGGAACTGAACAGATTCCATATCCTTAAGTGGTTGGCGTGCAATAGACATTTTATGATCTATTTTTTGTCGATGATCAGATAAGTCGGTATCACGTGACAATGTATAACAACACAATTTTAACTTGACGAACTACGATGAATTGAATAGTTTAAGCGTAAATAGTTCTGTATTATCAGGGATAAAAGACTTAGAGTGCTCTCACCAGTTCATCGAGCCAATTCATTTTGGAAATCAGTTTATCGTTGGCTAGATAGTGCTCATCAGCTATATGACAAAAAAGGTAATGAGAGGATTTAATCACATTTTGTAGCACAAATCATATTCACCAATCAGACAAAGTTTATTCCGTGAATTATCACATAAATAACACCGTATGTCTTCTTTTTATTATCCAGAAATGCTTTATATTCTTCTACTAATCTCGCCCATCTTGAGCATTATATTATCAGTTAACAAATAAAGCTATTACTATGATAAATTAATGCTACAGTAATGAGAAAATACCTTTTCTTGAAACTCCATAATGTACGCCCTTGAATTCGTTCCGAAAATTTGTTAGACATTACTTGCCAACATCTCGCCTTCTCCGTATTTGTTCTCTTTTCATTCAGCGATTTCCAATATGAACTAATAACCTCAATAAGAACAAGCATTTCGATATGACTCCAATCTCTGCGCTTCTTACTACTATCAACTACATTACAATAAAAATTAATCGCTTGTTGATAAAGATAAAAACAAAATTCATTACCATTACCAGAGTCATCGTCTTCACGTCGTCTCTTGTTATTGTCTCCTCCGCTTGGCGTTGCAGATAGTTCAGTAACTGGGTGTATTTCAAGAATATTATCCTCGAAATGACTTCGGCTCGATTCATTCATTGTACCGGCAGCATGATTATCTGTATTTTCAGTGTTATTCACGCTCATTGTTTCAGGGATAACGCTAGATATTTGCGACCCTTGAGAGGAAATGGTCAGCAAATTGACTCGAAAGACAATTGTGTTAGGAACCTGATCGCGTTTAGACTTTTTACCCATTTTTCATGGTGGTAAGAAACGTAGAGCAATGTTTGGTTGGAAGGTATATATAAGTATTATATTATATAGTACTGTATAACGATCAAATATTATATATTAAATCACTGTACTTTCACATCACCAATTGGTATATCACATATTCGATTTTTCCAAATATGGTATCGAGCCATCGAAGGGAGAGACGATTCATCAAGCCATCAGATGGCTAGATGGTATTACCCCTTTTTGCTATGCATTGCCAAATTTGGACTTGTAATTTCCAAA